GGGTTTGAACTGCCAGCCTTGTGGTTAGCAGTCAAGTGCCTTAGGCACTATGCTACCAGAGCTCCTCCTAGGTTAGCAAATAAATGCCTTAACCCCTACAGCACCAGAGCTCCTTAAAAGTGCATGACAGTGGGTATCAAATTTTTGTGGATGATTTGAAAGAATGATGTAGAGTTGAAATAATGATGAAAAGTTTTGTTTTTACATGTCAATATTAACAATATGCCAAGCATGATATTCTTTGGAATTATTTAAGATGAATAATATTTAGGTGTTACCATAAAAAGCTTAAGAGTAGCTTTTCAAAGTTATTGTAAACTTGGGTTAGAGTCAACACTGCAGACTGAATGTTGCAAAGGGGCTGGGATTACTGCTAAGCAGGCATCCCGCAAGGTTGGCTACCAGCCTGGTCTTCACTCTAACCCCGCCGTAAACCGGTTCTTACCGGTGCCCCGGCGATATGCCTGGGTCTGCGTTCTTCCTCAGTCATCGCCCCCCCTGGGGAACTTGGCTGGGGGCCCTCCGCGCTATAGCTGAAGAGGGGGCAGAAACTCCCACAGCGCCAGCTACCCACGAAGACTCTCTAAGGTGGTTAGGGGCCCTCAGACCCTGCCTACTCACTTCCTCTGCTTCTCAGATCCTCCACTTTCCAGACTGCGCGGACGGACTTTCCCTCCTGGCACTTAAATCTGTTGTTAGGTTTTTATATATTCTACTGAACCATTTATTTACCTTATTATCTGTCTTCCTCGCGCCCCACCCGTAAATGCAAAGTTCTCAAAGCAGGAGGCTTCATACGTAATTTATAATATTGGTCCTCTAAGCACACCACCAAGCGGGCATTCAATAAATAGAAGTTGAGCTAAAGACCATTCCTCCTTCCTAGTATCATCGGAGCCACTCGTCGGAACGAAGGTTGGGCAATCCTACTTCCGTAGTGATACTGCCTCGGAAAGCCAAGGAGGGGTCGCTATGAGTCGGGGCCGACTCCACGGCAAACAACAACAACAACAACAACAGTATCATCAGCGCTCACCACTGGTCACGCGTCTGAACGAGTTGGGCGCCGGGGGGAATACCATCGAGTCAGTCCTCCAGAGTTCCAGAGAGGAATCGGAAGTGGCTCGGAGCCGACGCGTGTTCTTCCGTCCGGGCCGTCTGTGCTTTTGTCCCGCAGGCGGCCGGGCACCTGCGGCGCCGCCACAGCCAGTACGTGAGTCCGCGGGCTGCCGAGCTCTCGTTCCCGTCCCTTGCCAGCCACGCCCTTCCCTTCTTGGTCGGGTCCTTACTGCCCTTGGGGCCTCGGGCGGGGTCTGGGAGGCGCCCCCCCACACACCCTGCACACAAACCTCAGGAGGTGCGTTCCGCGTTAGGATAGGGAAGGGAAAACCTTGGGTAGCCGGGGTGTGTAGGGTGCACTCCCGGAGTCGATTGGGCTCTCTGAGGTCGCCAACTCCGGCAGGCCGAGCGGACTGTGGTCGGGTTGGGACTACTCGATCGGTAGAAGGATAGGGGCCCCGCTCTAGTAGTCACGGTCCTGAGGGAACCCCTGAAAACTGTTGTTGTTATTTGCGGTCGAGTCGGGTGATACCTGATTCAACCCTCTTTTTCTTTGGATGGGGTGTGTTGAGAGATACCTGCCGCAAGTATAGATCGAGGCCTTCCCCAGAGGAGTCTACCTGAGTATGGACGAGTCCCACAGGGTGAGAAGGTAGGGAGAGGAAGGTCGGGGAGACTACAGGACCTAGGGGCAGCCTGCAGGAACCGAGAGTAGTTCTAGAACTTTAGTGCTGCCCCAAGACCTTTGGACCTGGTGACCGCTAGTAGTGTTTTCTTTGTGAATGGTGAAGCTGTTTGTAAATGTATTTTCTGAATATGCAGTACATTGTATATAGTTTCAATATTAAAAACACAAGTATCCGTGAAAAGGCTTCCCCCTTCGTTCAGCATCTTCCTAAACCCCATCCCTTGAGGTAGCCACTTTTGTTTTAGTCATTGTATCTATCTATGAGTTCTGTATGGAAATACCAGTAAACATGAATGTAGTTAGTTCCCCTTTTGTCCTGTTTTACTTAATATACCTTTGATATCTTTATGTATCAGAATATAGAAAGCTTGCTTTTATTACTATTTTTTATTGCGCTGTGGTATTGGATTGGCCTTATTTAAATGTTCCAGATGTTCCATAATTTGCTGTATTAGCAGACATTGAGGTGTTTTTCCAATTTTTTTGTAACTTCAAACAGGCACTTAGTGCATTTTTACTAGGTGCAGTGCCTAAGGCATTTGACTGATAACCAGAAGATTCGCTGTTCAAATCCACTAGCTGCTCTGTGGAAGGAAAATGAGGCAGTCTACTTCCTTGAAGATTTACCATCTTGGAAACCTGAGGGGTGTCACTATGAGTTGGAATCTACTCGATGGCAGTGGGTTTGTTTGTTTAGTTAAGCCAAGGCTTTTAAAGAAAGGACTAAATCATAAAATAATTTTTGTTTTATATTAATTCAATCAGTTTTGACAGATTGTTAAATATGCCAAATCAGTATTACAGTAACTCATGGAGAGTGTTTAAACAAATAAAATTAAGTAGCTTTTCTCTCCTGAGATTTGTGTTTGTAATGCTTAGTCTTACACTAGCCTTATTGACTAATTTTATCAATGACTCTCTTCAAACTAGTCCCCACCCCTTTAGCATCAGAAAATTTCTCAGCCTCCGTTTTAGAAACTCTTCTTTGCTTACTTTATGCCACAGGATAACTAGAAATCACCACTACCAGGTATGGAGATTTTTAACTTTAAGGAAAAATCACCTTTTGTTCCTATTTATCCTTTAAGCAATAGAACTAATTCAGGTGTGTCACTTACAATTCAGATATTCATAAATTAATTACAATAATTAAAGCACTAACTATATTCTTTTTTCCTTTCTACATAACACTCCTGAGAATTACTTCACCTTAGTCCCATCTTTCATTTGTTCTATTCTCTCCCTTCCTAGGTACTCTTTCTTATGAGTTGGTGATCATTTTGTTGTCACTTTCCCACTTATTTTCTCCTTTTCTTTCTCTGTTCATCTCCAAGTCAGATATAACATCCAGGAACTCAAGGTGCAGGCACTTGAGATGGTAGGTTGATATGTGGAATACAGTTGATACTCTGGAAATCCAAACTACCTGCTGGACCTCTTGCCCCAGTTTTGGTAGTTGCTGTCAAGTTGGCTCAATTCATGATGACCTTATGTATGTATGCCACCAGAACTCTCTATATATAACATTAGTATGTTGTTAATAGAAAGAATTTCCAGCCAGAGTGCATCACAGTTCCTCTGTTATAAGTTACTGAGCCCTGACTGTACAGAGCAGGTACAGTAAGAATTAGGGACAGGTTCCTACTATATGTACCTTTCTAGGTATAGTACAACATGAACAAAAAGCATAGAGGTGCCCAGAGGTTCTAGATCATGTAATTTGGAAGGAAAGGATGGCATTCTATGATTGACACCCATCCAGCATTTAGAACATTAAGAAACTGAAATCTCAAACAATAGGTTAGTAAGGAATGTCTACCTTGAGCGTTGTGCTCTTTTAAGATATATATATGTGGAATCAAATTGACAAACGCAATGCAAAGTTTAGATAGGAAACTTAGGAGGCTGTGAGTTATGAGGCAGGAACAACTCAGAAAAGGAGAGAGAATGGTTGCACAATTTGAAGAATGTAATCAATGCCACTGAAATTATACATGTAGAAATTGTTGATGTATGCTATTGGTATATGCTCGTCTGTGTATATTCTCAACAACAAAAATAAAATATATGTTAAAAAGAAAGAAATTGAAACTTTTCTAGCTATCCCTATAGAGGAATTTTGCTTTTGGAGCAATTCTTTTCTTGTGTCGTAAGGGAGAGGCATATATATGACCTAGCCACCATGTTTGCTCTTCTTGATTGGATTATAGCAACTTTCTATAGGACTTTTTTTTCCCCTTCAATCTGTTCTCCCACTGCAACCAATATGAGTGATTTATTTTTCCTTTTACTTTTTTATTATGAAAATGTTAAATATACAGGAAAGGATACTAGTGCAATGAAATCTCTTACACCCATCACCCAGATTCAACAGTTAATCAGAATTATGCCATATTGGCTTTACCTTTCTAACACAGCTTCTAATTTAGCCAGAAGGCCATTAACACACACACCATCCTGAACCAACTCTTAACACCTTGATATTATCAAAAAGAAGTTGACAGACTACTTGGCCTGAGGTCTGTTTTTATATGGCCAGCAAGCTTTGAATGTTTTTTCTGAAAACATCGCCAACCCTCTTTAAAAGGACAAAGAAAAATAAGGGACAGAGTCTTGTGTGGCCCACATATCCTGAAATATTTGCTGTCTGGTCTTTTACAGAAAATGTTTGCTAATCTCTACATATTGATGAGGTTGCCCATAGGGTATGCAGAGTCAGAAGAGAAAAAATTCAAGATGGAACAGAGAACACCAGGAACATCCAAGGTGCTGCTGGCTGGGGAGTAAATATCTGGCCCTAGAACCTAGTTCAGTGACTTGGGCTAAGCAGCTAATGCAGTGTGGACTGAGTAGATGAGACATGAGGGAAATAGCACTGAAGACCACTGTTTCAAAACATGTAACTGTGAATGAGAGGTAGGATGTCAAAAGCAATAAATATCTGGGAGGAAAGGTATAGTTGAGGGAATTTTAAATTTACCTTTGATATTTTAAAATATTTTATTTAGAAATAATTTCAAATATACAAGAAAAGTTTCAGGAAATAAAAATAGAGAAAAGAACTTTATTCAGATTCACCTACAAACCAGAAAAAAAAATCCTAGTTGCTGGTGAGTCAATTCCAATTCACTATAGGATACAGAGCAGACCTGCCCTTTAGGGTTTCCAAAGCTATAATCTTTATGGAAGCAGACTGCCACATCTTTCTCCCACAGAGCAGCTGGTGGGTTCCAACCACCCACGTTGTGGTTGTCAGCTGAGCACTTTAACCACTGCAGCACCAGGACTCTTTAGATTGGTTAACATTTTACTTCATCCGTGCTCACTTTCTCTCTCTTGGTTATCTTGTGCTGGTATAAGAGAAATACCACAAGTAGGTAGCTTCAATAAACAGGGATTTATTCTCCTATAGTTTAGGGAGGCTAGAAGTCTGAGTTCAAGTGCCAATTCTAGGGGTTGGGTGAAAGCCTCTCAACCTGGGTCTTCAGTTCTGCCTCTAGCTTCTGTCCCACTGAAGCCAGAGCCTTCTCTTAGACAGCTGCTGGCTGCTGAGGCTGACAAACCCAAGGCTGACAAGTAAAATGGCACAGTCACAAAATGATCAAGTTCAAGTCGAGAAACAGTCTTAAGATCAGCAGACAACATGGCAGGCCACTGAGTTGAAGACTAGGCCAAATGCAGGATCCAGATGTGCCAGAAAGCTGGAGACCTTCCTGAAAGCTGCTTATATACTGGAAGCAGACCACATCCCTATGGTAGCTACTCTGCTCCTCACAGTAGGTTCTGCCGTGGAGTTGATTACCAGTCTCATCATGGGGAATACTACATCCAGCTGCCCAGCCACTCATAATCAGGCCCAGCCAAGTTGACACACAACCTTAGCTACCATACTCTCTCTTAACTCATTTTTCCCGTAAACCATTTGAGGGATGCTTATAGACATAAAGGAGCTCAGATGGCACAATGGTTAAGTTACTCGGCTGCTAACCAGGGTGTTGGCCGTAGAAAGATGAGGCAGTCTGCTTCCATGAAGATTTACAGCCTTACAAACCATACCAGGCAGTTCTACTCTGTCCTGTAGGGTCGCTATGAGTAGGAATTGACCCGATAGCAGAGAGTTTGGTTTTTTGCTCACATACATAATGTCTTTGTTATCCCTAGATATATATGGCAACATTTTCTAAGTATGGCAGTATTCTCTTACATGAGTACAGTGTCATCTTGAATGAATTAAAGGTTGATAATATTTTTATCTAATTTACCATTCATATTGCAATTTTGTCATTTGATAGATGGCCATTTTTCCCTCCAGTACATATCCTATGGAGATTAAATAATGAATTTAGTAGTCAAGTCTTAATGTTCTTTATTCTGGAACATTTCCATAATGTTTCTTTGTTTTTTATGAAAATGATATTTTTGAAAAGAGTTTACTTTTTACCACCACCACCCCTTTTTAGTA